AAGCAAACGGTAATTCGAAGATGCTATGACCGGATCTTATGGAGGATGTTTGATTTCTGTCCACCGAATATTGCATTGCCCATTATAAGAAGAATATTATGAATCGCAATGGAGCTTGTTTTGGCCCAATATTCTGTTTTGACCTTCTCAAAAAGTGCACAGCAGCATGCAGCCTTAACTATAGATAGGTCATGAAGCAAGCAAACATACACAATACGCTGTAAATCCATGAAAACAGTAGGGAGAACTTTTCTTGCAAATAACTGAATTTTTGTTTTTAATGGAATAGTATCATCTTTTTGTGTGTAAACAACTACTATATCGCTTCATTTCCTTAGAGTAATAATGCACTTAGTTTTCATCGCAAGTAAATATTCACGTCAAAAATGCATCTCCTTCAGTTTTAGAGTAATTCAATTGTCATCAGCCACTTTGAAAAACTCCCGTTTATATTTCCTTCCCTTTTATATATACCACACTTGTTTACTCTTTTACAAACTTTTCAAATTTATATTCTGTCTATCTTCTTATTCGTATTCGAATTTCAAGGCATTCACAATGCCGTGTACGTCCAAAATAGAAACTTATTCCAAATAATGAATTGAACCCTTCCATAACTTAAGCTTATTTTGTCGATAATTCGTTACTTGTTATCCATTGGTGATCAAGACAAGGGTCACAAATTTGTCAATATTTTAATTAAGATAATTTTGTTCTCGGTGTACGGTTATGAACTAAAATTTCAAACTTATCACAAGAATTTTTAAACACCTTGCGCCATTTGCAAACTCGGTAAGTGGTCAATACCAAACTTAATATTCACTCAATGGCAAATTTCAATAGCTTTAATACTTTCTTTCATTCATGTCTTAATAATTGTTCTCCGTATAACTACTTTTGCGTTTATTCAGCTTCCTGGTGATTAAATACAAGAATACATGAAAAATATAAAAATGCGTCAAACGAGTATTCCAACTTTAAATTACTCACCATTTGTGCTGTTGAAAGTTATATAAAAATTACCAGCCTCTATTATAAAAGGCTTGTTTATATTTGATCCACCTTCGTTTGTTCTACAGGGTGTATCAGTACAGCGGTTATAAATTTTCAAAAGTACACCTAGACGATAGGAAACCACATAGAAATGCATGGTCGAAAATGCTGTCGTGGCGCTGTAGTGACGACACAAAAGATAAGAAATACAGGACATGAATAAGAGAACAAAACATGTTTATTATTCTTAATGCAATTCTGGTGAATCTTTGATTGGTGTACGCGATATATAGCGCCACGTAAGCTGAAGCATCAGATAATGGTGCATGTGCCCACGCGGTATTTGCTATTGCGCTCACTGTAAAGCGAAGTAGGATGGAAAGTGATAGTAGGATGGAACGTTACACGAACGTTGAGCTTGCTGATGTGCATCTGGCGTATGAGGCCTCTGATTGTAATGGACAATCCACTCAGCTGATATACGCCCAATGTTAACCTAAGAGGCAAACTCCCAGCCACACCTCCTTTGCACACTAGCACCAGAGATAGTCCGACAGCAGATCCTTTCTCATCGTTGATATACAGGAATGTGAGCGAAGAGTAAAAACAACAAACAACGAGGAGACAGATGGATCTGGTACAGAACAATCCTGATACTAATATGTGGGCTGTTGGCAGTCATGACAGGATTTTCCATTTGACCGTCAAGCTGATCCTGCATACCAACGACATGCACCTCAACATGAACACATATTGTCCCTTTGATGTTCTTTTTTCTTAATTTTTTGCTGCAACTAGTCTTCTCTTATTTGTGTTTTGTCTTTCTTGTCTTTTTTGTCATCACTACCGCTCCAGGAAAGCGTTCCTGACCATGATTTCCTATGAAATATTCCATCGTCTACGTGTACTCTATCTGTCCTGACAGTTAGTAACCGCTGTACTTATACACCCTGTGTACTTCATATTCTGTTTTACACAGCCAAATATATATTTATTCTTAAACAAAAATTTACATACACTTCTGGCCATTAAAATTGCTACACCAGGAAGAATGCAGATAATAAAATGATATTTATTGGACAAATATATTATACTGGAAAAAAAAGTTATTAAATTTTAAAGAAATTTGGGTGTGTGTGTGCATAGATCCTGAAAATTCAGTACACAGAACAACCACCTACGGCAGTAATAACAGCACTTATACGCCTGGGCATTGAATCAAACGTGGCATATACAGGTACGGATGTCCATGCAGTTTCAACACGATGCCACAGATCATCAACTGTAGTGACTGCCGTATGGTGGCTATGTGCTCGGCAACCATAGACCAGAAGTTTTCTATTGGTAAAAGATCTGGTGAACGTGCAGGGTAGGGTAACAGTCGCATATTTTCCGAATCAAGGAAGGTCCGTACAGTACCGGCAACATGCGGTCGTCCATTATCCTTCTTAAACATAGGTATTCAAAGGACTCGAATAAAGGGTAGAGCCAAGGGGTCGCAATACACTATAAATGTGACGTGCACTGTTCAAAGTTCCGTCAAACGAACAAGAGGGGACCGAGACGTGTATTCACTAGCACCCCAATACCATCACGCCAGGCGATGAGCCAGTAGGACGATAACGAATGCACGTTGACAATGTACGTTCACCACAATATCGCCAAACTGGAATATGACCATCCTGATGCTGTAAATCAGACCCAGGATTCATCTGAAAAAAAGACGTCTCACCATTCGTGAACCCCAGTTTGTCGTTGGTCACACCATTGAAGACACCCTTGTCTGTGATGAAGCATCATGGGTAGGAGCAGGCATGGTCTCCGAGCTGAGAGTCCATGCTGCTAAAAACGCCGTCGAACTGTTCGTGCGATATTTGCTGTCTTATAGACGACCCCAGTTCTTGACTCAGGGCTCGTGACGGGGATGTACGATCCATTAAGGCTATGCAGGTAACGTGTCTGTCTTCTCCGCTGCTAGTGATTGGGGGTCGTTGAGATCTAGCAAGGCGTTCCGTATTACCGTCCTGAACTCATCGGTTCGATATTCTGGTAACGGTCAGTGGATCTCGACCGACGCGAGCAGCAATACTGCGATACGATAAATCACAATCCCGGTACATTACTATTCGATAACGCCAGAAACGTGCTGGTACGTATTTCTGCTTCTTACACGATGTATCACAACAACTTTTTACCAAACAACAACGTTCAAATACAATTTGTGAATGAAAAACAAGCTGCAAACACATTGTAGGTAGCACTACCAACACCTGCGCTAAAAAGCAAATCATTTGCTTATCACAGCACCTTCTTCCTTTCGTTTAAATTTCACGTCTATAGCCTGTCGCCTT